TTCTAAACCTTTTTGGCCAGATGGCTGCAAGTGGGTAAAAAATCGTGAGTAACGTTACAGGTAACACGCTGTATATTATTAATAGCTATGGAATATTGATATAAATGAATAAAATAGAAATTATTTTACACTTTTTAGTGCATTTCGAAGTCGGATTTGTTTTTTGTTAAAAATTATTTTATTTCACACTTTTTAGTGGAACCAATAGTATTTGTAGGATAGTGTAAGGTGATTTTAGGTTTCTGTTGCTTAGCTAATAACCATAAAGTTTCCCGAATTTAAGTTGTTAATAAACAACAGATTTCATAAATTTTTACGAGTGAGATCATCGCGGATATACAGGGTGTCACGCGACTACCTCGACAGCCGAAGAAGGATGATTGCTGAGGTGATTCTAAATAACTTTTTCCTTTGCCAAAATGTTGGTTCGTTTTCGAATTATCAACAAAAACCACCGACCAATTCGAGTGCGTACAGCGCGCGGGCTCAGGGACTGCAATGTCGGCTACGAAAACCGGGCCTGACGTAGGTCGCGAACGAACAGCTCGGCACCCCGTTGGCATAGCACAATAAAAAAACTGAACTGGTAGAATATTTTTAGTCGTTTAAAATGAATACGGAACCTAATCTCTTGTCGCCTGTCATAATGTAAAAAAGGAAAGTCCAAGCATTCTAAACAATAAATAAAAATGATTGAAATGGAGTAATTAATAAACGCTTGAATTGGAGGCTACGTTAATGATGAAAAATTTGAAAACAGTTTAAATGAAACTTTCGCATTCGTTCCTGAATTAACCTGCTACGCTGAAAGCAGATAATTGTCACTGGGAAACGAGGAAACACGTTCGGTAGAACAGCCCTTTTCATGATCGGGCCAGTGAACGGCCCTTATTTATTGCACTTAGATATGAGTAATAGACGAGGTGTTTCCTCTTCGAATGTTCAGAATCGACACAGTGACTTAGCGGGAATTATTTGCTTTCAGCGTTGCAAGTTAATTTAGAAACGAATGGGTAAGTTTAATTTAAATTGTTTTCAAATCTTTCATCATTAACGTAGCCTCCAATTCAAACGTTTATTAATTACTCCACTTCAAACGTTTTCATTTGTTGCTTAGAATCCTTAGAATTTCCTTTTTTACATTATGACAGGCGACAAGAGATTAGGTTCCGTATTCATTCTAAACAACGACTAAAAATGTTCTACCAGTTCAGCTTTTTTATTGTGCTATGCCAACGGGGTGCCATGCCGTTCATTCGCGACCTACGTCAGGCCCGGTTTTCGTACTCGACACTGCAGTCCCTGGGACTGCGCACTATACGCGCTCGGATTGGTCGGTGTTTTTTTTTGTTATTAATTCGAGAACCAAGCCTTAACCAACATTTTGGCAAAGGAAAAAGTTGTTTAGAATCACCTTAGTAATCATCCCGCTTCGGCTGTCGAGGTAGTTACGTGATGCCCTGTGTATCCTACTAAATATGAAAGGTTTTATCGCGAACGATACATTCCTGGCAGAGTAACATGAAGGAATAGATTTTTTGCTATAACGGTAGTTATTAACAAATTCCATAAATTTTGGCAAGTAAGATCATTGCGGATATATCTCCTACTAAATGTGAAAAGTTTCATCGCAATCGGTACATTCCCTGCAGCATAAACGTCGGAAGATATAAATGAAGTATTACGTTTTTTGCGATAAAAGTCGATAGGAATGAGAAAATACAAAAATTGTTTTGCTGGACCAATCGGGAGATATACGTCTCGCGGTAATCGGTGAAAAATGTAAATCAAGCATTACGTTCATTGCAAAAAAATCGTTAGCAATGAAACAATGCAAAATGTCTTTTTGACAAGACAAAGTGGGAGAAATACTCTACAAGACGCAAAAAGCTTCATTCCGATTGGTCCATCCGTCTCGGAGTAATCGGCGAACGTACGCCGCGCGTACATGAAATAGTACGTTTTTTTGCAGTAAAAAGCGTTCGGAGTGAAAAAATATAAAATGTTTTTTTAACGGGACCAATCGGGAGACGTACTCTACCAGATGCAAAAGGTTTCGTTCCGATTGGTCCATCTGTCTCGGCGTAATCGGTGAACATACATAAAAAAAAAAAAAAAAAATATACACATCGAATTGAGTATCCTCCTCCTTTTCGAAGTCGGATAAAAATATCACTTATATTAATATTTAAAGTAGAAATATGAGTGCACTGGTCATAATTAAAATCAGACGAAACGTGAGTCTGACAATGAGAAATACAGATTGATCTGAAGTACGATGCGAAGAGCTTCGCAATCGATTGGGCGTTGTTTGCCCTAACATTGTTAAAATACATGTCGGTGGGAAGGCTGAAGGTCCTGCGTTGACTGTTTACATAACTCCAAAAAGGCTTAGTATTATTGCAGGTGTACATTAATCTTTCAGTGTTGCGTATATATGACCTATGACAATTTTCAGATAAAGCTTCGCACTCCACACGAAGTTTGGAGAAAAGAAGGTAATCCTCGTACAAATTGGTTTGTTTATAAACTCGGTGAGCACGTTTCTTCTGGCGAATAAGCCTAACAGGTTGTGGGGAAAACCATTTGGGAAATGTAGAATACCTAACATGAGTTTTGGGTATGTAAAGATCTATTGCGTAGTATAAATGATAGTATTCCAGTGTAGTTGCCTCGATTGAAGTTATATCTATAAGTTACGTAATTAACAGATGATGAAAAGGATGGTGACTCCGTGTACAACTTAATGAACAAGGCAGGGTGATATAGGTCGCAATGAAGTAAAGGGCTGTCTGATAAGATAATTTCAGCTAGGTTGTCACTGGTAAAGCACCAGTCAAGGGAGGACCCACAATGATTATAAATTTGATTTTTTTGGGCTAATTGTAAGCCACAAAGGTTATCGATTAAATATTCAAGGGATATTGCTACACTTTGAATAGCGCCAGGATCAATATTGATCGAACGATATTGATCGTTCCACGTAACGTGAGGCAAGTTGAAGTCACCTAGTATATAAACACGATCGGCAGGTTATTGATCAATGATTTCAGTGACACTGTTAATGAAGTCAAGATAGAGGGAAGGAGTTGAGGCAGGTGGAAGATAAAAAAAATGGTAAATGTTAATTAGAGAAAAATTCTAACAAATATGTGTACAATATGAGAATTCTTTACGTGGATACATGAGCTACGAAAAGAGCTTTTTACGGCTATTAAGACACCACCACCCCGTGAGTGGTTGCTAGTGAAACTAGATCTATCATAGCGAAAAACATTATAGTTAGAAAGGCCAAGTTCTGAGGTTGATATACCAGAGTGAAGCCATGTTTCCACAAGAATAATCAAATCATATGCTGGTGTATAACATGCTATTTCTCGTTGCAGATCCTGTATGTGTATCTGGTACGAAGTCTTCTTACATTTTGATAATATATTAATGGGCTGAGTCGGCGTTTTTTGGATTACGAGTAACGAAGTCAATTCTAGGAACACCACGAATGTAACGGATTGTCTTAGAAGCATCGTTCAATTCTGTTCTTAAATTATTCAAGAACGCACGCTGTTTCACCGTTTGATCTTGCGTGATCCTGGCCAGCCCCTGATATTTTGATTTGTTCTTCAAGATAGATAGAGGTATCTTCGAAGATTTAAAAGTGACACAAATCGGTCTGGGTTTGTCACCAGAAAAATTTCTGCCAATCCGCTTAATGTGTAGGTCATTGTTGCATGTTTCCGGTTGAATCTTACGAAAAATGGCTTTACAGGTCGATGTATCAGAGGTGGAATTCTTCTCAGGAACGTTGAAAATAATGAGATTATGTGATCTTCTGTTCCTTTCCATTATTTCTTTAATGATATTTTTTTCTAAGTTGCTCATGGTTACTTTTAGATCGTTTACTTTGGTGTTAATATTTCCCAAAGTGCAATTTAAAATTTCAAAACTTGATTGAAGAACCTTTAGCTCGTTTTCAGGCTTGTCCAATTTGGGGTCTAAAATTGCACTGATTTTATCAAGAAGAGAATCGTTGCCATCGTCTATTGGAGACACTGTTGGGGTAGCAGTGGTTGTCAATTCGTTGCAATCCAGAAGTTTGCCTGGTTGCCATGGATGCGAATAGCCCAAGTAAACATAATGTTCCCCGGTGTGATGATATTCCGCATGATGAGCAAAAGACTGGATTGGTGACTGAACTAGAACATCCCTTGCGTGTATTTCTTCGCAGGTGCCATAATTTCAGTTTCAAAAGTGACAAAGTCCACTGACTGTTAGAAGAAGGATAGTCACTGAACGGCTCTTGTTCCACTCGTTCAAAAACGTAAACACCAACACACCAACACACAGAGGTGCGATATAAATATTATTAAATTTTATTTAGTATAAATCTCAATTTTTGAGCCAAGATTGTCAACCCAGCGGGCCCTCGAAGATTCGATAGTCCCGGCTTCTATACTTGCCGTCACCAGAGTCCATAACTGCGAAAAGAATAGTTTTTCGTTCTTTCGTGTGCATCGTCGCTCTGATTGGCTATACTCCCACTCCCCTACGCTTGCGCACAGCGCTGCACCCACGCCAAACAGCATCATTTGGAGCGTATAACGGGTATAACGATTTTTTACTTATGTGTATCATTCTGTATTCTTCCTATTCAACCGTACTATTGTTTCACCCGGTATATTAAACTCGATTAGCGGAGTGGGAGTTTCGAGGCTCGCTAAGTTCCTCCACCATCTTCCAATCTGCGCGGTTTAGTTATGAACTCTGGTGACGGCAAGTATAGACATCTTAATTCGTCCTAGTCATACAGTGAAAGTAGTGTATAATGTAAAAAATAATATGTATTTAAAGCACAGTATAAAATTTCAAAATCCCATCGAAATTATCCATAAAGAAAAAAATGAATGTTATTGATTTCTGTTTTTACTATTTAAACCAAATTGCAATTTCCTCGACTTGAAGCTAATTTAAAGAGAAATAAATTATGTATTTATTAATCTTACCTGGAGTTAACACTGGCAGGTGGTAGAGGTCTGTTGCACGGGTCCTCGAGGTCGCATTGGCTACGAAGAAACACTTCTAGAAGACCCATGAAGAGCATAAAAGATGAACCACCACATGTTGATGCTAAAGTTGGACCAGTCGACGGGGTTAATGGGCAATTGCAGCTCATCTGGAGCATTAATAAAAAAAACTCAGCAAGTTAAAACTTTATGGTACTTTCAAAATATAATACAATAGGAAAGTTAAATTGTTAAAGTTTAATCAAACTGTCGTTGATTGGCAAAAATAAAACAGAGTAAAATTAAATAAATTAAAAAATGGTGGAAGTTGAACTGTTTCGACGTTGGTTGTAAACTGAATGAAATTTTAATTATTAAAGTTTTTTTTTATATGCTTTTATGTTTAGTATTTTATTGTTTTAGAGATCATATTTCGATAAGACTGTGTATTAAGGTTTTATTTTCTAGTTACTTTTATATTTGGCTTATCTCGGGAATAGTACCACACTCTTATTTTGTTCAAATTTCATATATATATGTATTAGGGTAGGAGTGACGTAAATATAAAGTGTCAACGTAGGGAAAGTTTTACGTGCCAAGATATAAAAAAACGCGAAAACCGATCATTTTCACCTTTCTTTTTGGGAATTTTCTTCAAGAAGATAGCGCTTAAATCATTCAAATTGAAAAAAAAGAAACAACCTAACCCTAACCCTAACCCTAACCTAACCTAACCATCGCGAAAAATGATAAGGGTGGGGCGAAGGATGAGCAGACATTAGTGGGTGGATCGTCAAGTTAAGGGAGCAAAGGGAGCTATCCAATACTGGAAAACCCACCTTTCATTTCCTCACCTTTACATGCTGTCGGTTGATTTCGCCGAGAAAGGGTAAAATGAAAAGTTAGGTTAGGTTAGGTTAGGTTGGGCCCGCGTGCCCTACCGCTTCCTGGGAGAATTTTTCGCGGGGTTGGTTTTGTGGGGGTGGGAGGGCTCGCGGTGTACCCTTCCACCCCGGACGAAAGGAGCCCGGACCCCGGTCGGACCCGGGGGCGGGAGGGTGGGGGACCCGTTCTCAATCGGGGGCCCTTCTCCGTCCGCCGCTGGGGGGCCGGGTGACTCCGGGCGGAGGGTGGTGTACCCTCCCACGTGGGGAGTAGCGCTGGCCCCCGCAGGGGGGGTGCAGCGGAGCCGAGAGAGTCCCCCTGGAGGGTGGCCGGCCACGGCTCACTGCAGCCCACAGGGGGACGACTCGGCGGGCCGCAGGCGCCCTATCTGGGCGCCATTGCACGTGGACCCGGGGCTTAGCCGGCACCGGAAGCCGGCGGAGCGAAGGTCAGCGCACAATCTTCCTCGCGGGCGGGCGGAGGGTTGCTCCTCCTCGTAGCCCGTGAGGAGATCTAGGCGCGGGGACTGCAGGCGGTACGGGCTGGGGGCCCAGCCGCTATTGCAGGTAGTTCCCCCGCCATGAAGTCGGCACCGGGTGCGATCCCCGGTGTCGGCTGGGGGAATCCAGACTCCCCCGGTGAGAGGCGTTTCTAGCGCGCGGCGGGGGAGGTTCCGGAGTTATATCACTCAGGTCCCGGAGCCTCCCTTGAACGCCAGACGAGGTCGCCGTGGGGTTTTACTCAGTAGGAATCTGACACTCCCCTGCTGCCCTCCCCCAAGGGACGGCGGGGGATCTTATGTAAGATTTCCCCACGATAAATAAAAAAAACGGACCTGATCAAGTGTACTGGCTGGACGGGGAGGTGATACTCGGACGTGGCGCGTCTCTAGGTGGCGGATAGAGGAATGCTCGCCATGCACTTTTCCAAGTAGTGAAATAAAATAGCTCCCGCGGACCAAACACCAAGGGAAGGAAAACCCATTAAAACCTCCCCTGTGACTGGGGGAGAGAATACAGACATGGTAACCGTGCGTGGCCGTCTGGTGCGGGTAGCGAACCCGGAGTGCCCTAGCAATTATACCGTAACCCAGTGATCACGTCTCGCTGGAACGAGGGGCTTGCCTTCATCGGCCGGCCCGCGAGGATGACAACCTCTATAAAAATCCCAAGCCCCAAGCTGTGGTGCGCGGTGAGAAGGGCGTGCCCGGAGTAAGCGCCGGGCATGGCTAATGGGTGCATCAGTCTCTAGCGGCCAAACCCGGGGTACCTGGCGACCCCCTGGGTGTACTAGCCTTACCCGGCTAAGGCGGCTCTGCCCGGGTGGACCCACGGACCGAGTCACTCGTGGGAACACTATGGCTGACTTGAACACTCTAAAAAACACAGGACGGGATGATTTGGCGACAACAGCGACGGACCGGGACATGGAACAGGATATGGCGGTGCTGACCAGCACCGAGGGGAACGCGAACTTGTTCGCTGCTCCCCGCCCCCAGAGGGCTAGAAGAGGGGCCTTGCGACCCCGCGGAGGTAGGAGCTTCTCTGTTTCGGGGAAGGGAGCTCCGAGTTCGGTTGACAGTGGGTCAACCTCAGATGAGTCCTTTGTATCCGCTGCCTCACTGGACCGCCCGTCAAGGGGGGGGGGGGGGGCGGAAGACCAGGGAAAAGCTCCTCGCGACGACAAGGGACAAGACAGGGGGCAATGACGAGAAGCGGGTCCTTGACCGCTCTATCGCTCCACCTCCCAAGCAAGGGGAGCATCCCCCTGCCTGAGCAGGAGCAGCTCGAGCTGGAGCTCCGCTACGAGCCTATGACGGCTCTGGCGGCGCAGACGCTCGAGCTTACACCGACGTCCGCGATGTCGAGCGGGTTGCCTCCGTTTCAAAGGGCCAGAAGGGGACCTTCCAGAGGTCCCTCCGGCTGACGTATTAGGGCCATCAATGTTGAGATGGCCAAACGAGCGGCGCCGGACAGTGCGGCTGAGGAGGTGGCGGCGCTGAGGCGTGAGCTCCGCTAACGAGACGAACTGCTGGCAAAGCACGGTGAGCGGCCGCTCACCCTGGGCAAGGTGGAGGTGCGAGCCCGCTTGGGGGTTGTCGTGGCCCGTATCTTTCCCGCCCCTGCCCGCTCTGATAAGCCAGCTAGGCCGGCCTCACCCCTGGATGATCAGGTGGGAGCCAAGAAGAGGAGCAGGCCCGACCAGGAGGTGGTCATGGCGGAGTATGTTGCTTCTAAAGGAGGCGGGGTGGTTCAGCCCCCGAAGAAGCAGGGAGCGACCGCTGGGAGGGGGCGCAAGGCCGCCCCCAAGCCGAAGCCCGCCGGCAGGAGTCAGCCGGCACCAAAGCCCACGCCCCTTCTGGATGAGGGGAAGAAAAAGGAGTCCCCCCTCGAGGCGAAGATGCGGGGTATCCAAGAGGAGACCCGCCTCGCCGCCGAGGGGGAAACTTGGTCCATTGTTGTGGGCCGTAAGGCCAAAAGGGACCTGAGGAAGGAGGGGGTTTCTGGTAGCCGAGTGGTGCTGCAGCAGGGGGCGAAGGCGCCCCCCAAGAAGGCAGCTGCCCCTACCCCTCCCCCGACAAAGAAGAGGGTTGCCAGGCCGCCTAAAACAGCGGCCGTCACCTTGATCTTGGCCTCTGAGGCCAAGACTACGTACGCCGAGGGGATGGCCACCGCCCGCGACAAGGTCGATCTCAAGACAATCGGGATCACCGTGATTCGGCCTCGGCGGGCGGTCACTGGTGGCCTGGTGCTCGAAATACCGGGCGAACAGCGCATGGGGAGGCCTTCAGGAGGTATGCGGGGGCACCGAGGTCCGGGTGTCTCGCCCCATGAAAATGGGCGAGATGAGGATTTCGGGCCTCGACGACTCGGTGTCCCCAATGGAGGTTGCGGCAGCCTTGGCCGCTGTGGGGGGTTGTGCCCCAGTCGTTGTTAAGGTGGGGGAGATCAGAATCTCCCCGGCCCGGCTGGGCACTGTCTGGGCAAAATGCCCTCTGACGGCGCATAATAAAATAGCTGCCTCCGGGAGGATCCTGGTTGGCTGGTTGTCAGTCAGGGTGGAGGCGCTGCCGGCGCGGCCTTTGCAGTGTTTCCGCTGCCTCGAAAAGGGCCATGTGAGGCAGCGGTGCACATGCGTGGTGGATCGATCCGACCGCCGCTATGTTTGCGGCGAGTCGGCCCATAAGGCCGTCACATGCAGCGCCTCCCCGTTGTGCCCCTTGTGCACCGACTTGGGGCGACGCCGTGCGCCCCCAAGACCCGGAGGCCCAGTGGTAAGAAGAGCGCCGTTCAGGGGGGAGTAGCACCCTCCCAACAGGCGCAGCAGCAGCCAGCCAAGGCTGCCGCCCGAAAGGGAGATAAAGCTGTGGAGGCGGCCCCGTCTAATAAGTAATGGGGCCCATTGGGCATATAATTCAGGGTAAGCTGAACCAGTCGGCCAGGGCACAAGATCTTCTTCTGCACCACCTGGCCGAGTGGAAAATTGGTTTGGCAGTAGCCGCGGAGCTGTACAAGGTCCTCGATAGACACGACTGGTTCGGGGACGATGACGTGATTGTCCATGGCAGTGATTGGCACCGCCTATGCCCTGCCCCCTAAGCTAATAGAACGGGGGCGGGAATTCGTGCCGGTGCTGTAGTGCGAGATCGCGGCGGTGGGTGTGTATTGCCCGCCCAGTTGGCCCCTCGCGGCTTTTGAAGAGCGCTTAGGCTGGGTGGGAGACGTTGTTTCCCGTTGCTACCCCCGGCCGACACTCGTTCTCGGAGATTTCAACTCCCATGTCCAATCGCGGGGGTCCCCGAGGACTGACGCGAGGGGCGAGGCGGTACTCGAGTCGGCGGCGGAATTCGAGCTCCGGTTGTTGAACCGGGGCTTGATCAGCACCTGCGTGCGCGCTCGAGGGGAGTCGATAGTTGATCTATAGTTCGTAACTCCCTCGGCCGCACGCATGGTGCGGAGTTGGGTGGTAGTGGAGGAGGCGGAGACGCTCAGCGATCATCGCTACATTCGCCTCGGATTCTCCACCCCCGACCGCTGCGGAGATGGGCGCTGTAGAGGCTTGACAGGGACGCGCTGATGGCCGCAGCCCTCGCTGTGACTTGGCCGGAGCAACCGATCGGTCCGGTCGCGGATACAGGGGAGGAGGTGAAATGGTTCCGGGACACGATGAAGGCGATCTGTGACGTCGCCATGCCCCGGGCCAAATGCCTCCCCAGACGGGCCGCCTACTGGTGGTCGGGCGAACATTCGGCAAAACTGTAATGTCGCCCGACGCCAGTGGCAAAGGGCCCGTCGGAGAAGTAACCGCGACCCAGCGGGGGAGGATGAGCTGTACAGGTGCTATAGAGTGTTAGCGGTAGCCCTGCACCTAGCCATTAGAGGCCAACTCCCGAGCGTGGCAAGAACTCCTCGGCTCTCTCGACGGCGATCCGTGGGGGCGCCCTTGTATGTGGGCAATGTGCAAACTGAGGCGTCCCTCGTGACGGAGAGCCTCGACCCCCAGTTCTTGGGTCAGGTGGTGGACACGTTGTTCCCTCGTGACGACGGTAGCCACCCCTGGCCCCCGCCGGTCCAAGTCGAATGGACCGACGACATGGGGGTCACGGAGGGAGAGCTGGCCGAGGCCATTAGACGCCGGGGGCTCGGAACACTGCTCCGGGCCCCGACGGTGTCCCCGGCCGAGCCTGGGTATTGGCCCTCCACGTCCTTGGACCGCGATTGAGGCGCCTCTTCAGCGCCTGTCATAAGGAGGGGGTATTTCCCTCCGCGTGGATGGTTAGACGACTGATCCTGCTAAAGAAGGAAGGACGGCCCGATGAGAGCCCCTCCGCGTACCGACCCATCGTGTTGCTCAACGAGGTCGGGAAGCTTTTAGAAAGCGTGATAGCTGATCGCCTCGCCGAGCACCTATCCCGGGTAGGCCCTGATCTGGCCGAGTCGCAGTACAGTTTTAGACGGGAGCGCAGCACTATCGATGCGATTGACTCGCTGCGCTCCCAAAGCGACTCGGCCACGTCCCGGGGCGGAGAGGAGTTGGGCGTTTCTCTAGACATTGTGAACGCCTTTAACAACCTGCCCCAAGGGACGATAATGGGGGCACTTGTAGAACACGAGGTGCCCCCAGTACTGAGAAGGATAATCGGGAACTACCTACGGGATAGGTTCATCGAGTATATGGGCCGGGACGGACGCACTTACAGGAGGGGCGTCGATGAGGGTGTACCCCAGGGGTCCCGTTTGGGGCCCCCATTGTGGAACGTGGGGTACAACCCAGCTTTGCGGGTCTTGGTCCCGGACGGTGTAAGCATCACGTGCTTTGCTGACGATATGCACGTGTTTGCCACCGACCGGGACTGGAGCAGGACCAGTCGTCTTGCGGAGATTGGCATGGCTGCCGTCGCAACGGCGATCCGGAGGCTGGGGCTACAGATAGCGCCCCACAAGACCGAGGCGATATGGTTTCACTCGCCTCGGCGTGGGGTTGCACCACCGCCCCAGTCTTGGATCCGGGTAGGTGACACCAGGGTCCAGGTGGGTGAAGGGTTCAAGTATCTTGGCCTCCACCTGGACAGCCACTGGCATTTTGAAAGGCATTTCGACCGTCTGGCCCCCCGATTAGACGGGGTAGCAAACGCCCTTGAGCGGGTGCTGCCCAATATCGGGGGGCCGAGCGAGAAGGTCCCTCTCCCCCATCGCAGATCGGCGGCTCCTTTGTGGAGTCGCTGGGTCGCATTGCACGCGGTCCGAGAAGTGGACGGCGTCGGGTGTGGCCCCAAGCATCGGCGGAGTTGGCACTTAAGGGGAGGGTCTAACCTTTGAATTAGAGGTGGGGCGTAAACGCGCCAAGGGTGGTGGGGTCCCGGTGTGTTTGACAGAGGTCCCGGGGCTCTCCCTAACGCCCAGTGCAGGTCACCGTGGGAGTTTTAGCCGGTAAAAATCCGGCATTAACTTTGGCCTCCCCCTAGGGGTGCTAGGGGCGTCTTTGGAAGATTTCCCCCACGAAATAAAAAAAAAAAAGGTTAGGTTCGGAGTTGGAGGGTTATTTGAAGTAATTGGAAGAACGCAATAAAGAGAAAATTATGCAGTATCGCCTACAATCACCGGAACTTAACCCAATTGAAAAGTTGTAAGACGAAATAGACAGGATAGTTAGGACCAAGTGTTCAAAAAGTGCGAAACAGGTGTAGACAATGTTAAAAACAAGCTGGGAAGAAATTAAGATAGAAACATTCCAAAAACTTGTCGCAAAATTGCAGCAACTAGTATAAGCAGTTTATAGACCAGAAACAATATTTAAATAAGTCTATATCATTTAGTGGTGAAAATTGTATATATGTATTATGCATCTTATTCCTTTTATAGAAATCAAATGTTCGACAAATATAATTTTTATTAAAAAATACAATAATTACGTTATTGTAGTATAAATATAGTATTTATATGAATTTAGTAGCTATCCGGATACTTATTTAAAAAAAAAAATGTCGTTTACAATTTTTTTTCTGAAAGTGCTCTATAACTCAATGGGTATATTTCTCCTAAGTATGAATATCATAATTATTATGCGTTTCTCTGAACATCGTGTCCCAAAAACGTGAATTACTTTTGCATGCTTCGCTGCTACTTCGCTAGAGGTGCCATTCACTCTTGTTGGGCCTTAAGGTTACAAATTATCTATAAGAAACAATCTCCTTTTCACAATTATATTCTTTTAAATGAATAGTTAAATACTTCTTTTATAATTTGCTTCTGAGTATCATGAATTTTTAAATATTTTTCATACTATAAAGTTTAATAATTAATTCTATCTGGTTTAAAAAGAAAACAAACAGACTGCAATAGATCGTAACCAAATTACAAACATAACAGTGTCCTTACATATTTGCAAGATTTTTACAACTTTCACGTCGTTTGCAGAGCATATAATTACTAGATTCAACTTCATCAGGATATGTAATTATATTATGTAAGATATTTTTACATTTTGTTTAGAATCAACATAAAAACAGGCGAAAAAATACAAACTGAATTACGATCGTGACAACACTCTTATACAAAGTGTTTCATGCAAATGGACTAAATTTAAGAAGGTTTAAAATGGTATAAAATAAAAAACTGTCATTAGGAAAAATTAAGTGGTCTCGAATATGATGCATGTGTTACATGCAGATTAAAAATGTTAAGATCAGTTTCGCTTTTTAAATGAAATTGTATATTTTCTTAAATGTCACTCGATGCAATTTGTTATTCTGTATCAAAAGATATTAAGTATTTGGGAGAAAAATTGATTATTTGTAAAAGATATTTTAAGGAGAGATTAAGGCTTTGATGTAACAATAAAAATTATTAATTTAAAAAAGATTTAAATAATAATTCTGTATTATAAATTTACTAGACCGTTAAATTAGTAACAAATTAAATTTATAATTGTTTTAAAAGTTATATTACGTAGGCTTTCGCTAAAATATCTTTTCAAATAATCAATTTTCGACCCAAGTATTTTAATACGTATTTGTAAAGTCAAATAAAATCCGTTCAATAACATTTTTTCAAATGAAACTTAGTATTTTTGTTTATATAAATCAATTCTTTGAAATATTCTACATAAAATGGTATTATTTGAACAGCAGAATCTGGATCGATTGCGATTCATACTTACAAAACATATCCAAGGATATTAATCTAAAATTAAATATATAATTTTTAAACGAAAGAATTTCATATGTTGGAAGAATAATTTTTAGAGACCGTATAAGACTTAAAAAATGAAAATGAAAATATGAAATACAAAATTCAATTAAAATTGTGGCTCTCTGTATGGTCCCCCGTTCTAGGGTTAAGGTACAATATCAAAGAAATCAATAATTCATAGGATATTATCAAATTCTTATTTGATGTTTTAAAACGCACGACTTTTTATACTGTCTTTTGAACAAC